GCCTGACACAGTGCACACACCATGCTTTCAACTGAAGTTGAGTGTTCCCTTTCAGTCCCGTCGGTGGAAACGCAACAGAATTGGCTAGGTCCTATCCCTCCTGGCCCGGGCTCATTAAGAGCCGGTACCCAGCAGGCTGGTAATCAGTGCACCCTGAAGAGGGGCCCTGTTTCCCAAGGCGCGCTGAAGTTCCTAGAAGCTATGGACAGTGTAATTTCCCAAAAGGTTCCAAACAGTTTGGCAGCCTTTGGGTTTTACTGTCCACTCTGGAGGGGAAATGCCCACGTGTGGGCCAGGAGGCCGGGGGACGAGCGCGGAAACGCCGGCGGTCCCGTAAGAAACACTCAGCGTGCTCTCGCGACGCCCGCACACTCCAGGCCTCCGGGGGACAGGTCCAGCCCCGCGGCCTTATCCCCGCTCGCCCCGGACACAAGTTCCCTCCCGCGGCCACGGCCTCGTTCCGCGCGCACCTCCGATTTGCTCCCGCCCCGCCGATGCTGCCCGGGTTTCCCGATGTCCCCCAGCAGGGACTGGGAAACGCCCCTTCCGTCCAGCCCTCCCCGCTCACCGGCACCCTCCATGCGGTGTCCGAGCCCCGGGATTCCGGGTAGAGCTTGTCCAGGCTGTAGATGCTCTGGAATTCGGTGCCCTCTGCTTGCTTGTGCAAAGCCCGCTGGGGACAGCGCGGGGGCGGCGGGAGCAGCCAGGCCCCGGCTCGTCTCAGACTCCAGTGCAGGGACCGGACGGTCGCCATGTTCGGATCTCGGGGCGGCTTCCGGTGGGTGCTTCCTTCCGCGCTTTGCGGGCTCCTGTTTCCGTCAGGTTTTTAGTTCCGCGCGGCTTTTAGTTCCTCTCGCCGGGGTAGCTGGGAGGCAGCGAGCTGAGCTCCGGGGTTGCTCTCCCTGGCACCTGCGAGACGCTCCCCCTTCGGCTGGCCGCCGTGGAGAGGCCAGGTTGGAGCGCTGAGATCCTCTGTTGGCCAGACAGCGAGCTGTCAAGGGAGCCTCCTGGTGAAAAGAACCCTCGGAATCCGTGTCCCCCAGAAACACCACTTCTCTCCTTTTCAGGGGCAGTGACGCCCTCCCGGTCCGCTCTCCCCTCCGAGTTTCACACAATCCGTCAATGCCCGGCCTAGTCCGTCTGCATCCCCTGTACTCTGACTCTGCTCTACTCTCTCTTCTTTTTTTCTTTCATGTCACTCAATCTTATTTTTCTAGTTCATTGCCCGTCTCCAGTCAGAATATAATAAGCTGGGGTGGGGGGGGGCACTGGCTCCCGGCTGGGTCCCCAGAACCCAGAACCTGGCAAATCACAGATAGTCAATATTTATGAGTTATTTGGCAGTATTTTTGAAAGGTGAATTCTGCTAGAGCTGAGTTTTGGTAACTTCAGGGTGATTCACAAGGCAGTTTAAGCACATCCCGGCTGAGCAGGCGTGTGAAGACTCCACAAGACAGATACCAGATGCGGGGAGAAGCTGGCAGGTGGAGAAAGACATGTGTTTAAAACGGGACCCACACCCCTTTGCAGAAGAAACAGCGTTGTGGGAGCATGATGAGGGTTTCTCCTAGCAAGGAGGTAAAGGAATGTTGGGGGAAAGGGTAGAGATCTAGGCCACCACAGACAGGCTAAGCAGAGCCCTTTTCCAGGGTTCTTAAGACACAAACCTCCAAACAGAAGTTCTAACTCGGGTTCAAAGTAGAGCAAGCAGTGTTTGGAGAGAGCTAAGTGTTGGCTAAGTTTCTTTGTTGAGAGGCAGTGTGGGTAACTTGATAAATGATTAGTGATTATTAGTCATTCCAGTGATTGTTTTGTAATGAAGAGTTCTATTTTTAGTAAAAGCACAATTACCTAGAAAAATAGGTCCCTAGGGATGCTGGCTGTTTGAAACAGGAGACTGTCATCAAATCAAGCCTTTACGTTTTAGTCTTATCACTACAGGCATATTCTTCAGAAAGGAATAAACTACTTCCCAGGCACTCGCCTTGTAAACGCAAACTAGGAAGGGAATGACGATAGACATTTGCCTTTTGGGCTCTAGGCTGGAAAGAGAATCTCTGAATCTCTTGGGTCCCTCCCTGTCTTAGTCCCAAGACCTCGAACGGAACTGAGGCGTCACTATGGTGACCGGAAAAAGCTGCTCCAGGGAGCAAAGCCAGGGACTCACTTAGGTTGACAGCTCAGGGATTATGAATAATAAAGTCAGCACCATTTCATGGCGTCATTGCTCTGAGGCTGGGTTCCAGCCCTGCTCCTGACCCAGAGTGATAGAAAAAAGGAGCTGTAGGTTTCCATGGCCTCAAATAAACACAGCCTGCTCAGGCCATCTGGTGGCCTGGATTCTGGACGAGGAAGGGGGTAGAGGAGAGAGTGAGACAAGCTACTCCTGGGTGGAGAGGGGAGCAGCTGGCAAGCTCCTCTCACCCGCTGCTGTTGTGAACCATCCAGAATAGAGGCCCTTCTAGAAGAAACAGGCTGAGAAGTGCCACCTGTTCCCTTTAAAGGTGGGCACTTTCCATCCCCTCCTTGGTCCTCCATGGGCTGAAATGGGGCTTCAAGAAGGGGTCCTTCGGAGGCAAGAGGAAAACAGGGAAGACAAGACAAAGCATTACTAAGCCATTCCTGGTAGCTGACGAGCTTGTAGACACGAGCCCTTCTCTCTGGCCTGTGAGTTGGGGGACCACTCGGGGACCCATAGGATTTTCCTTTCTTCTTTTCTGGAGTGCCTTGGGTCCGACTGCTCTTAAAACTAAACATTATAAAGAGATAAGAATGTGCAGTATTGTAGAATGGAACAGGTCAGCTCGGGGTTTGAATGTTTCTGTGTGACTCTGAATTACTAATTCAACCCCAAAGCCTCAGAATCTCCATCAGAAGAACAGAACCTCCCAAGGTTGACGCGGCCTGGCACAAAGTCAGCAGACAACAGAAGTGAGCTGCCGCGAGGAGATGATTAGGAACTTCTTTTTACTTTCAGGGATTGGGTGGCTTTTTTTTTTTTTTTTTCCTCTGCAGCACTGGGTGGGAAATCCAGTCTTCAGTAGCTCTATTCTAAACTAGACCCACCTTCCTTCTTCTGTGAAGGACAGTGAGCAGACAGCGCAGAGTGAGTGGGCAAATCTGCCTCTGCTTCCTTCACCACCACCCCTTATTTGCCCAGTGCCCTGATAACACCCACCAGGCATTTGGGTGTTTGGTTGCAGATCCCAGGAGAGCGAAGCTCGGGATGCCCCCCCCCCCCAAACCCAGACCCAGAGCTGTGTGATGACAGGTGGGTGTGTGAGAGGCACAAAGACGAGACCATGGCTCTAGGGCCATTTCTGCTTTTAGAATACTGGTGCATTTTTTATTAAAGAAGAGAATAAAGCATTTGTAAATATATTTCTCTCATGTATACTTCAAAGGTGACGCTGGTCGGCCGCTACAGAACTGGGGAGCAAACAGGCAGGAGCCCTTCCCCCACTCTATCCCCTCCACCCTAGATGACAGAGACACACGGAGGGCTGGGAACTGCCCAGCTCCAAAGGACAAAGGGTTCCAAGATGTGTGAACGGAAGGACCAGACGACAGCGCTCATCACAGTGCCGCCCAGAGAGCAGGGTAGCGACTCTAGGGAGGTCGGGCATGCTTGTTAAGAAAACCCCTTTACCCCTTAGAAACAGATAAGGCATGAAGGTCCCTGCTGGGTTCCCAGCACAGAGGCCAGGGCTGCCACCTTCCGCCGGGCTGTGTGGAAGGATCTCCGGATGGGTGGTAGAAGGAACTGGAAACCCTGAAGAACTGCTCAGGGCAAGCTGGGGACCTGGACATCTCTTAGCCGAAGCTGGACTTTCTGAAGCCTTAACAAAAGGTTTAACCTGTGACCCAAATGGGTGCTCAAAAGCCCCCAGAAAGGTGGGAGGTTAAGAACAGGCATTCTATGGGAGAGAGGAGACATGCTCCCCACCAGGTCCCATTTCAATACTGTTCAGTATAGATGGGGATCTTGGGCAGTCCCCAGTGAAGGGGGGCAGGGGTGGATGCTGGGACCACTGGCTGGTGGCACATGCCCGGGACATTCTGGGGGCAGCAGGCATGATCTGAGGAGGGGTCAGCCTGTGGGGAGCATGGGAGTGAATGAGACACATCATGGTCCCTGAGATGGGGGCAGGCAGAGGCCAAGCTTGGTGAGTCAGAGATGGCGTGCAGAGATGGGGGCTCCCCACCGCCCAGACTCCTGGAAGGCTTAATGGCCAGAAGGCATTTCCAGGGGCTGGAGCCCTAGGAGGCTGGCTCTGAGGGAGGCAGGGTGCACTGTTCGTGTATGGCTGCCGAGGGGCTCCCTGTTCCCCTCCTCTGATTGGCTACAGATCTGCAGTGGGCTGAGGGTCTCCAGGGAAAAGTGGGGGGCACTCTGGGCCTGGCTGAGGCGTTCTGCTCTGCATGGCAGGAGCCGTCCCTGACCTGGTCAGGACCCTGGAGATGGGACAGCTGGTGCTAAAGGATTGACAGCGCATCACAGCTGAGGAGAAGCAGTGGGTGGTCCAGGAGACCCCTGGAACCTGCAACAGCTGGCCTGGGGATCTCCCTTCAAGTGTTTCCAGTTGTGGCAAGGGCGTGGGGATACCTTGCATTGCAAATCTCTCAAAAAAACCGAACTTTGGAAAGAAAGGAAAAAAAAAAAAAAAGCCAAGTGGTCCAGAATGGCTTTCAGAAGCGTGGCCACAAATCTGTGAGCAAGGCCCAGGGTCAGGAAGTCAAGGGCTGGGGAGCTGGGAATCCTCGGGCAGTGGGGACGTTTGGCTCTGCAACTCTCAGCTGCGTCTTTGGGCTGACGCAGGGTGGTGGACGGTCGTGGGAGGCCAGCCGTTTTCCATGTTGACCGGCTCCCGAGTGAGCAGAGAACAAGTTGCATCCCCCACACGCTGCCTGGGCTGGAGAGCAGCCTCCCCTAGGCCGTACTGCTGCTTGACAGGGCTCCCTCCCTCCCTCCCTCCTGTGAGGCTGCGCCGCCACCGGGGCAGGAGGACCCCCATGGCCAGACCCCGGGGGGAGGCTGCAGGCGGGGAAAGGGTCACTTGCTGCTGTGCGTCTTAACTTTGGTGGCGTTGATGTCGGCCTTGGTCTTCTGGATCCTGGAGAAGATCTCCTTGAAAAGTGCCTTGTACTCCGGCTGGCTCTGCTCCAGCCGCTTGTCCACAGCCTCCACGTGCTGGCTCAGGCTCTTCTCACCCGCCTTGGCCTCCCCCTGGCCCTCCTCGCCCCCACGAAGGTCTCTCCACGAGCTGTCTCGGGAGATGGGCCGCGAGGTCTGCACGCCGGCGTGCCGCACCCCCGCGCCGTGCTGCCGGCACTTGCTCAGCAGCTCCTCGTACTTCTCGAGCAGCGCGTGGTACTGCTCGTCCACCTCCCGCAGGATGGACATGCCGCGCTTGCGCACGCTGTTGGCGTGCAGCGTGAGGTTGCCCGCGTGCCGGCTGGCTGGGTCTTTGGCCACGATGGCGTTGAGCGCTGTGTCGCTGCAGCTCTTGCGCACAGCGTGGCCCGGGGACGCGGCCGGAGAGGCGACACCGTCCTGGGCGCCCGGGTCGTCCCCGCTGCCGGGCTGGGGGTCATCGGTCTCGGGGGCCTGGGTGAGGGGCGCGAGCAGGGCCTCGGCCAGGTGGTCCTCCCGGCCCAGCAGGTAGGTCTTGGCCTGCTTCATCTGCTGCAGCTCCAGCAGCTCGGCCTCCAGCTCCTGCACACGGAGGCGGCAGCCCTCCATCTCGCACAGCTGCCGCTCCAGCTCTGAGTACTCCTGCAGCACCGCCGCGTACTCGCGCTCCGCCCGCTCCTTGCGCTGCCGCTCCTGGCTCACCTGGGAACGCAGCACACCCACCAAGGTCTGCAGCCGCTCGTTCTCCTGCTCCAGGGGCCGTGGGCCCAGCTCCAAGGAGGAACTGTGCAGGCGGAAGGCATCCTCACACCTGAGAGGGGGGCAGGGGAGGGCCAGCAGACATCCGGTCAAGGCCAAGGTCCCCGTCGTGGGGCTCCCCAGGCTTAACACCTCTCCCATCTACGGGGGTCACATATCCCGTTTGCCCCTCTAGATCCACTCTCCGCCCTTCCTCTCCTTGCTGTCCACCCTGGGCGGCTGACCACAGCGAACTGCTTAGCGGGCTTCTGCTCTCTCCTGAGCTGAACGAGCAGGAGGCATGGGCAGGAGGTCGGAGGGCAGGAAGAGAGAGAGGTCAGGGAAGGGCTTCTTGGCCAGACTCCTTCCCTGGTTAGTGCTGGCTGGGCAGCACCTCCTGGCCTTCCCCTCCCTGGTCCCTTCAGGCCCAGGATGGTAACAGCCCCTTGCTGTCGCAGCCCTGGGGGGCTGCAGTGTTCCTGAGGTTCCCCTACACCTTCATCCACACCTCTTCATTAATCGTTCCTCAGTTACTCTGTGCAAGGTGCAGTCTCCTGCCAGGACCTGTATTGAAACACCCACTAAATACACAATAAGTATTTAGAAAAAAAATTTTTTTAAAGATTTATTTACCCATTTGAGAGAGAGTGTGTGCACCTGGTGGGGGGGGTGGAGTGGAAGAGAAGAACTTTCCAGAGGACTCCCTACTGAGCGTGGAGCCCCTGGTGGGCACCATCTCTTGCCCTGTGAGATCATGACCTGAGCTGAAACGAAGAATCAGATGCCCAAGGGACTGAGCCACCCAGGCGTCCCCACAATTATGATTTTTTATATTAAGAGACCATCCCTTTAAGTTTAATGGGACCGTGCAGCGTGGAGCCTGCTTGAGATTCTCTCTCCCCCCCTTTGCCCCTCCCCCCACTTCCCTCTAAAGAAAAAAGGGGGGGGTGACGACTGAAAAGTGTAGTGGTTAACTCCTCCCGAGCTGGAATTCTAGCTTATTGAAGAGGTGGCCTTGGATAAGCTCACAGAACCTCCGAGCGATGAGGATGGGATTGCCAGCAGAGCAAAACCCGTTAGAACGGTGGGGGTGGCCGCACGGCCAGGGCTCGGTCAGTGCCAGCTGCTGACGTTGCTGGCAACAGGACGGGTCCCTCTGACAGCCCCGCCAGCGCACCACCTTTCACTCCCACCTGCTGCCTGGGCCCCGCCCTCTCCTCCCTCCAGAGTCGGGGACACCGCGCAGGGTCCGGGTTGCGCCCCACCCCCGCGCGGCGCCCCCACCTACCGGGGGCTGGTGCACAGCTCCTTGAGGCAGGGGAAGGTGTGGATGGTGCGTCTTCGTTCCCGCTTCTCCCGGCGCACTCGCAGCTGCTCCAGGCCCCGCAGCTGCTCCACCTGGGCCTGCAGCTGCTCCACCTGCGTCTGCAGGCGCTCGATGGTCTCCGTGAGCCTGGGGGAGGGGGCGCCCGGGGGAGGGATTTTAACAGGACCGGGCCAGCCCCCCCCACTGCAGGCCTGGAGGGACTCAGGCATGGGACAGATGAGCAGCTTTGACCCCTGCGGCGGGGTGCTGAGGTCAGATGAGGACTCCCGTGTGCCCAAGGACCCGCTCTCATCCTGCGCCTCCCTGGCTGAGCTGACCCTTCTCCTCTGTGCCACCTCGGTTCCTCCTACACCCTTTGAGCACCTTCCCTGCACTACTGTAAGGATTTACAGGCCGGCCTCCCCTCCAGGGCTGGGAGCTCCCAGAGGGCGGGGCGATCTCTTCACCTCCCCATCGCTGTATCTCCAGTGCCTACAGGGCCTGGTGTGTAGCTGGTGCTTCCGCAGGGATTGTGGCCTGACCATGAAACCACCCCAAATTGCCAAGGGCCATCTCACTACCATCCCGGGAACCTGGGCCTGGGCTTCTGGGAGAAGGAGCATGAGTCACACCCACCAGACTATATGTCCGCAGGCAAGCCAACCTGACCTTCCCCTCATTCGCCCCCCCCCCCCCAGCCCACCCCCCGGCCCTCACCCATGAATCTTCTGCTGGGCAGCCTTACTCTCCAGCACCAGCTTCTGGTTGGTCAGCTCCAGGTCTCGGGCTGTCAGGTCCAGCTGCTCGTACACTTTGGCGTGCTGTTCATTCATGTGCCGCAGCGTGTCCAGCTGCTTGGTTAGGTACTGGAGGGGAAAAGATGGAGGACCCTTTCAGAACAAGGTTGAGGGAAATGTGTTCATCTGGACCTCGTCCAGTTTCTAGGAACACATTTGCTTTGAGAAATTCGTCTGCAGCAGAGTGTAGGGGAGTAAAGATGGCAGTGCGATAGGGCTGCCTGGGATAGTTGTACAGGTTGTGAACTGCACAAGGCTATGGGGCCAAAGCTGTGTCTGCTAAGAAGGCACCCTTCTCTAAGTTACACAAAGTCACCCAGGCCAGGGGGTCCTCAATGGGTGGGGGAGCACATGCAGGGCCTACATGGCCCCTCACCTCGATCTCCTGCACTTGCTCCTCATTGGTGGAGTACATCTGCTGCAGAGACTCCTCCAGCTCCTTGTTCCTCTCCAGCAGGGTCTTCCCCAGCTCCGCGGCCAAGTGCAAGTCTAGTGGAGGGGGGGCAGAGGGTGGGAGTAATGATGAGCAGCTGAGCGAGCTCAGAGGACTCCTGTAAATGTTCTGACGATTCAGTGTAAGCTATCCTTTGGGGATGCCAAGACAGCCAGGACACAGAGCCGCCCTCAGGAAACCTCCAGGCCTGGAAGGGGATGTGAGCCGGGAGCTACGCTTTGCATGGATGGCCGCGTCTGTCTGGAATGTCCATTCTCCAGACACTCCCAGGGCCTGTCCCTCTCCACCTTCAAATCTGTGCTTAAATGTCACCTGCTCTAGGAGTCCTTCCCCAACCACTGATTCAAAGTCACCCCTCCCCTGCCTTGCACTCCCTCTCCGCTTAGTTTTTTTTTTCTCCTTAGCACATACCACCATCTAACTTACCAAGCTATTTGCTCATTTATCTTTATCTTGTTCATCTCCCCCGCCCCACCCTCCGACTAACTGTAAGCTCATGGGGCAGAGATTTTGCCCATTTTGTTCACTGATATCCCAGAACATCTGGCATAGAGTAGGTAACGTAATAAATACTTTCTGAAAGAATGAGTGGCAGGCACCGGGGTGACTCAGTGGGTTAAGACTCTGCCCTTGGCTCAGGTCATGATCTCAGGATCTTGGGATCAAGCCCCGTGCCAGGCCCATTGCTCAGTGGGGAGCCTGCTTCTCCTTTTCTTTCTGCCCCTCCCCGCAACTTATGTGCTCCCCCTCTCTCATGAATAAATAAATGAATAAATAATCCTTGAAAGAATGTGTGTGAGGAATGTGCTAAGACAATCCACAGACATGGGGCGAGTGCCCTGGGATGATAGGTAAGGGTGAGTTCACTCTTCCTGGGGTCAGCTGGAGGCTCTGGCAATGGGTAGCTTGCAAGCTGGGTTTGGAAGGGTGACTAGGAGTTCACTGAGACAGGAAGGGAGCAGAAAGGCTTGCTGGATATTAGAACTGGATGAAGCTTCAGAGCTCTTTGGCTTAACCTCCTTATTCTATGGATGACAGGCTGGAGAGAGAGGGAAGAACGGCCTGTCCAAGGTTATGGTCATCTTGGAAGCAGAATTCAGGTCTCCTGGCCTTGGTTGGGTACCATTAGGCTCTAGTGACATGGGCCCCTCTCAGAAACCTCCTTTCCCTGGGCAGCAAAACCATCATCCTCTTCCCCCAAGCAGTCCTGATTCTTGTACCCTACAGGACTGGAACCCACCTTCCCCCCTCCCAGTGGAAGGTAAATGAACACTGTCAGGCTGGGAGGGGCTCTAGCCTATTCTTAGGGGGCTGTGTGGTGGGGAGAGGGAAGGGTTAAAAGGAAGTAGTAGGTGCTGGAATCCCTAAAAATTCTCTCTAGTGGGTCTGGGGTTGTGCGAGGGTAATGAGACATTTGGGGTAGATATTCCTCCAAATATGTGCCTCGCTCTTCTTAGAAACAAAGGGAATGGTGTATTTATTATGACCAAGGGAAAATATGTTATTTCTCTGATTTCTAAGAAGAGCTCAGCAGACTGATGAAAATGTTCTAAAGCTGAGTGGGGGTGACTGCACTGCAAATATACCGGAGACTGGTGCATGGCTGTGCGCGTGAAGTGAGAGGGTTACCTGGTGTGTGAATTACATCTCAGTAAAGCCATTAAAAAAAAAAAAAAGATTCTGGCAGCTTAATCAGGAGACGGAGATTGATGGCGGGGGCAAGGCCCTAAAGGAGGTTGGTAGACAGGCTCCCGTAGAGTTCACAAGGCTGGCCTGCCTGCCTGCCTGCCTTCCTTTTCTTTCTTTCTCCTTCCTCCCTCCCTCTTCTCCTCCCTTCCTTCCTTCGTTCCTTCATTCCTCCCTTCCCTCCTAAATTCATTTATTTGTTTGAGAGAGCACGAACAAGCACACAGAGGGAAAGGGAGAAGGAGAAGCAGACTCACCACTAAGCAGAGAGCCCGAGGTGGGGCTTGATCCCAGGACCTGGGGATCATGACCCGAGCCGAAGGCAAATGCTTAAGTGAGCCTCTCAGATGCCTCTCTCTCTTTCTCTATTTTTTAAGGCTCTTTTCTTTTTAGAATCGCTTTAAGTGTTGTGTGAAGGTGTAGTTGATGTAAAAAATCAAACGGCACAGAAAAGTTAACAACGGTGACCAAAATATTACTTGAAAATGCCATCTCAGGGGCGCCTGGGTGGCTCAGTGGGTTAAAGCCTCTGCTTTCAACTCGGGTCATGATCCCAGGGTCCTGGGATAGAGCCCCGAGTCACGCTCTCTGCTCGGCAGGGAGCCTGCTTCCTCCTCTCTCTCTCTGCCTGCCTCTCTGCCTACTTATAATCTCTGTCTGTCAAATAAAATAAATAAAATCTTAAAAAAAAATGAAACTGTACAAAAACTCATAGTGCAAAGATCTTGGTGCAAATCACTTCCTGTATCCTGGAGATCCTTTCCTAGAAACAGAATCATTGGAACAAAGAACAGACCTATTTGATTCATTCCACCAAAATGTTGTCCAGGAAAGCCTGGGTCTTTTTCCCACTGTGAGGTTGTTTCTTCAAATAGCCCTTGATCTAGGCTATGGTATAAATCCAGACCGAGGGGCGCCTGGGTGGCTCTGTGGGTTAAGATAAGAACCTTCAGCTTTGGGCCCTGGTCTCTGGTCTCAGGGTCCTGGGATCGAGCCCCGCATCGGGCTCTCTGCTCAGCAGGGAGCCTACTTCCCCCTCTCTCTCTGTCTGCCTCTCTGCCTACTTGTGATCTCTCTCTCTCTGTCAAATATATAAATAAAATTTAAAAAAAAATCCAGATCGAGATGCTTAATGGCAACTCTGCAGGGGCCCGATGTGATGTGGTCCAGGATTCAAGTCTTTAATGCTTCCCCTGTTCAGTGATTGTTCTCGACTCCCTGGAGGATGGAGGGTCTCTGTAGCCCCCCTAGCGAGTTTCATCAATACAGTTGTTTCAGCTGAGCCCCTTGCTGGGCACTGGGCAACTCTGGGGAGGGGGCTTTTCTTCTCAGAAGAGCCCAGGAGAGCAGTGACTCCCAGTGGGTCAAGGAGAGGAGAGCCTCAGGCTCTTTTTCACCCCGGGGCTCGGAGTCAGACTGACATCACCTTACGGAACCCAGAGGGCCTGGACAAAAGGCCCAGCTGCCTGTCGGGAACAAGCCTGGATTCTGCTCCCACGCATAAAGGTAAGGTTTTAAAACAGCCCGAGTGGTGTCCCCAGGGTGGGCCTCAGCTGGGATCGGGGCCCTGTGCCCCGATGTCACCCGGAGGAGTTTCCTGGAGGAGTACAAACCTGCTATCCCCGAGAAAGGCTACAATAACCTAGCCTGGGAAAACAAAGCTGCTTTCCTAAACAGCCACCTCGGCCACTAAAGAAAAAAAAAAAATCAGGGGCGCCTGGGTGGCTCAGTGGGTTCAGCATCCGAATCTTGGTTTCAGATTCGGCTCAGGTCAGATCAAGCCCCGCACTGGGCTCAGCGCTCAGCGTGGAATCTGCTTGTCCCTCTCCCTTCCCCTCTGCTCTTCCCCTCACTCTCTCTCTCTCAAATAAATAAAACCCTAAAAAAAAAAAAAATACAGATCCCAGATAAGAACCTTCAGCTTTGAGCAATGAACTTCGGATGATAATGGCAAGAGACACTAGTTACCTAATACAGACCAGTAGGGGAATGGGGCCACTTGCCATAAGGACTTGTTAACTAGAAGTTGGGCAAATGTCTACAGGGTGTGAAGGTATCTGGAGGCGTCCATCTGCAAAGTGTAAGGTTCGATGTGAGCATCGTAGAACCGCAGCACTACGTTATGTGGAGTGCTTGGTGGGAATGCGGGAGTCTGGCAAGACCGGCCCTGCTTCATGATGAAGGAGCCACACCATCTGCCTACTTTCTGAAATGAGACGGTGAACATTTAGTTCATCTCCAAACAGTATCGAATAACTCAGGTAGCTGTGGAAAAGAACAGAGGGCCTCACTCATCAGGGTTTTCTCCTTTGGGAACTGGCAGGTGGCCTGTGAAGAGGCCATTGCTACTGATGCTGGCGCTGGCGGACAGGCTCCCGGGGTGGCCTGCTTGGGGATCCTGCGGCTTAACCTAGAGTCCAAGAACTCAGGCTCCAAAGCCACGACCAACTGCATTTTACGGTGAGCACCTGAGCTGTGTGTGTATTTCTGCCGCTGGGCTGGGGCGGCCGCTGTCACTATAAACCAGGGACACAGGAGCTTGCCCTGAGAAGGCTGCGAATGTAACCAGGCCGCCCAGTGACTCAGGGGTGGGGATGAGCACAATAGAAGCTGTCCGGGGTGGGGGAGAATCTCAGAGACGTTCTGGGGAAACTGGATCACGATGCAGGCTAAGCTGGTCGGATCTGCCAGGAGGGATCACAGGCAAAGTCTAGAAGCTCCAGGGGACTGGATGGAGCCAAGGGCTGGGGAAGGTACCCCAGCTAGCAAAGGGCTGCCGATGGCTCTGGGCTCCGGGAAGGGGGCAGCTCCCCCTGGACCAGGGGTGGGGGAGGCCTTGGGGAGGGAGAATGGGGGGGCTGGCTGAGCAGGAAGTAGATGCCGGAGTCATAAATAGCCTGTCATGGCCAGATTAATGGTCCCACTGGACCAACCTGGGGGAAGGTACCAAGTCTGAATGGACATGGGTCCTGCCTGGACCCTGTAGTGGGCTTCAGTGGTTTTGCCCTCAAAGTGCCTGCTGACGTGCTCCCCAGGAGCAATGTCCCAGAGGGCTCAGAGGGAATGGCTGGAAGCCACAGGGATGTCTTTGGAAAGAAACCCTGAAACCCCGCTGTCCCCACTGGTTGGGGTTGGAGGGGGGACCCATGATTCTGGAGCAGAGAGGTGGGACAGGGACAGGGAACAGGCACAGGGAGGAAGGGACAAAGATAAAGCAGGTGGGAGGAGGCGGTCTGCCACCTGGCCGGGCTGCAGGGTTCCTGCTTACAATCTCCAGGGCATGGATGTCAGGAACTCTGGGTCCACACGACTGGGGTCCAGTCACTCCCCTCCCCTTGCCATGTCAGAGCTCTCGTCCAAGGCCAAGACTCAAGGTCAGGCACCCAGGACTTCAAATCTGTGACTCAGCAGCCCTCTAGAAGGAGGTACCACAGGGCCCTCCATGCCTGGCCCAAGGTCGGGAAGCAAGGCAGGCAGAGACAAAGAGAGCCGGTGCTTAAGAATCAATGGCTTTTTCTATTTTTACAGGTGCTTGTGTCAGTGGGCAGAGGGAACATGGGAAGGATCTAGGACCTTGCTTGTCCCAGCTGCCTCCCTCCTCTGGGGCAAAGCAGCATCCAAGTCAAACAGCATCTGGAAGGCCAAGCTTCCTGAAAATACAGTGGGGCTGCTCTCAGGACAGGGGGAAACAAATACAGAGGGGAGGCCAGGCCGACTGAGCCAACCACTGCCTGAGCCACTCAGAGGCAATCAGGGAACAGCTGGGCCGGAGGGGACTGGGGGCTTGGGGACAGGAAAGGGGGATGCCACAGGCACCTGATCCCCAATATGGCTGGCCTTTGGCCCACCCTTCACCCTACCACCCAGCTCTCTGTGCTGGGCTCTAGGAGGTGGTGCTGCAGTGGCCGTGCCCGGGACTTCCTCGAGCCCACCCCTGGCACTCCAGATGCCTCTACTTTCTAGCTGTGTGTGGTCTTCTCGTGCTGTCCTGTACCTGGGCATAGCATTCCCTCCCACCCCAAATGGCCAGGCAGCCCCTATTCACCCTCCAGCTCAGAGGGGCCTTTGCATAAACCTTTATGAGTCTCAGAGCAGAAGGCCCTCCACTCTCACCCTCGCCCAGGGTGAAGAGACATTTGTTTGTTTTTAGGCCCCAAACTCCAATTTCTTCAGGCACTGTCTCATTTCTGGTTTCCCTCCTTATTCCCGGGCCCTGGCTACTCCTAGGGCCACAAGACAAGGCCAGCTGCTGCGGCCCAGCAAGGCTAGCCCCTATCTTGGTCCCAGAGCATGGCTGCCCAGCCCAGCTTGAATCTTGACACCTCTCGCTCTCCGGAAGCAGTACGTCTCCCACCCCTATTCTCTGGCTCCTTCCTCCCACATCTGGGCCGGGCAGGATGCCAGAGACTTTGTTAGGGGTGTGGGAATGAAATGAGACAGCAGCAACATCAGCATCAGCATCCTAGGGAGCCATCTTCCCAGGCGCTCAGCTTCCAATCTTTCCATCTAGGCCTGCCTCTTCCATGAAGCCCTCTCACTGGATCCTAACACACACACTCAATTACAGGCCCACCTCCACCTGCCCAGGTGCCACGCAAAAGGCGGGAGCTGAGACTATCTCAACTCCCAGGATGGTGTCTGACACTTAAGTGTGAGCCTGATAGGTGTTTGTAAGATGCAAAATTTGGGGGGTGGTGCCCAGGATGGGGAAGGGAGTTGTCACAGCTAGTACTGGACATCACATTCTACCAGGGAGGCTGAGGGTAGACTCCAGGGAAAAGACTATGGCGGAATTCAGCCCAGCAGCCTCAGTCCCACACTGGTCCCCCAGAGACTCTGATTAACCCACACTCCCGAGTACAAGGACAGTCTCATCTACCAGCAGATCTTGCCACGTGGGGATGTGGGTCACGGCCAGGAAACAAAGGCTCTGGGATCTGGGTAGCTGTCTCACATGAGGGCAAAACTAGGCATCTGGGGCCCCAGGGGACAGCGACTCAGAGCAGGGGTGGTTAGTACACACTGAACCAGACTGGTGTCCACACTCGCCTGGCTTGCTGGGTGACGGTGGTCACTTCTCTTGGATATGTTTCCTTGCCACTCCAGCTCTAACCACCCAAGACTGAGGCACTTTGGGGGAAGAGAGGGTGGATTTGACGCTGTTCCAGCAGTCCTTGGCCCTGACCCTCTTAGGCCTCCTCCTTCTTCCTGTCCCACTGCTCCGCCCCCTGCCTGGAGTGATGTCACCTTGGCCACCTCATCACCAGATTCTAGCCCCCTTCCAGCCACCCTCTCTACCCTCAGATGGGAATGGGGGTAGTGGCTCCCACTCTACTCAGGCTGTAGTCTGGTGCATTGCTCAGAATTCCCAAAACTGGTTCCCTCCGAACCATGAGTCATTTGAGAGAGGGCTGGGAGGGGAAGGGCCAAGGGACCCCTTTCCCCTCAGGAAGGTCCAAGTTTTTGCTGCTTCTTGACCAGCAGGGTCCCCAAACCCCTATACTCTCCCTGGGTAGAGGGTTAGGGAGTTCCGGAAACTTTCTGGGAGTCTCAGAGCTCAGGAATCCTGGCAGGGAAGGATGCCACTGGATTTGGAATGGGATAACTTTCCGCTAGGCGCGCGAGAGCGCGCGCGCGCGCGTGTACACACACACACACACACACACACACACACACACACTCCTCTCAGCAAACATAACCAAGGAGCCACCTCCTGGCCTTCAGAGACTTCCAGCCAATACTCAGGCCCCCAACAATACCAGGGGCTCCTGGACAGTTCCTGCCTCTAAGATGGGGCGGGCGAGCCGGATGAAGTATGTCCCTGTCGTTCGGGGAAAGAGAAAGGCCGCTCCCCCCACTTCTGCACCCTCCGCGGATCCCGCCCGGGTCTCCCCGGGCAGCGTTCCCTGTCTCCACGTCCCCCTTCTCCAGACGCATCACTCCTCGGAGTCCGCCTCTCCGGGTCCAGCCCAGCCCTCCCCGGGGTGATACTGCTCAACAATGGAGAAGCGGACAGGGGTCGCCGGGCGCATCCCGCTCTCCCGCCGCACCCACGCTCCCGCGCTCACCCTGCTCCAGGTCCTGCTGGTCGTACCAAGGCTCCTCTTCCTCTGTGGAGAAGTCCTCCATCCCGGCGGCTCTCCGCATGGCCCCGCGGGCGGTGGGCGGCAGGCGGGCGCTGCGGCGGCGCGGCTCAGAGCCGGGGCTCGGGGCCCGGGACAATGCGGCGGAGGCGGGCCGGGCCTCCCGCGTCGCGGACTCGGGCTGCAGCGCCCCCGCCCGCGCCGCGCCCCCTCGCCATCGGCCGCTGACCCGGCGCCCACGCGGGGCTGGCGCGCGGCCGCGGTCCGGCCCGGCCGGGGTCCTGCGGAGCCGGGGGCACCGAGAGGCGGCGGCACAAAGGGTGGAGGGGTGGAGACGGCGGGCAGGACGGAGGCAAGGACGGTCGGAGTCCGTCGGCACGTCTGGGGAGCTAAGAGTGCGCGGGGGCCGCGGCGGGCGTCCCCCGCCCGGCTCCGGCCCGCGCTGCCCCCCGCCCGCCCGGCGACACCCGGAGCCGCCGCTGCATCTTGGCGGGGTCCGCCCCGCGCTTCCCTAGCCGCCCGCTCCGAGAGGCGGGGCCGGCCGCGGTTGGCCAATCAGAAGACGTATGCAAAGTGGAGGCGGAACCGAGGGTGGGATCTCCCCGGTGCCCCGGTGGGGCTGTTGCTGGTTCAACGTCACCTCTTCCCCCAACGCTCGACCCCTTCGGTTTACCGCTGTTCATTTTGTTTACCTGCCGTTGTCTCTCTCTCCCTCTAGATCTCCTGAAGGCACAGATCGTGTCTCTCTCGTTCACAGCTGGCTCCTCAGTGCCTAGAACAGGCTGGCCCATTGGTACTTTCCACGGACACTCTTTGAACGAATATTTAGTTACCATTACCTTTAAGAGGTTGCGTGTTTAAATATCTATGGCCGGACACCTGCGAAGTTTGAGGGTGACTTACCTGCATTCTGGACCTTTCCCTTTAAGGTCTTGTTTCCCTCCCTTCCCTCTCCTTCCATATGCTATATCCAGTTACGACAGTTAGAGCCATACACAATTTCACCTTGTAAGCATTCTCTCCTTAAGGGAGTTACCGGACTCAAGCATTCATGTAACTGATTATTAGGACTCAGCATGAGCTGGTACTGTTGCGGCATCCTGAGTACATCCAACTCTGAAAATACGTGGAAAACATACCCAACAAAGATCTTGTATCCAGGATATAGAAAAAATATCTGCAGGGGCGCCTGGGTGGCTCAGCGGGTTAAGCCGCTGCCTTCGGCTCAGGTCATGATCTCAGGGTCCTGGGATCGAGTCCCACATCGGGATCTCTGCTCAGCAGGGGGCCTGCTTCCCTCTCTCTCTCTCTCTGCCTGCCTCTCTGTCTACTTGTGATCTCTCTCTGTCAAATAAATAAATAAAATCTTAAAAAAAAAAAAGAAAAAAAAGAAAAAATATCTGCAAATCCACAGGAAAGACAGCCCAGTAGTAGAAAAGGGGGTAAAAGGCTTGACTAGACACTTCACAAATGGCCAAATGACCCAAAAAACACGTGACAAGGTGTTCAACTTCTTTAGAAACGTAAAAGCTTGTAGGGGAAGAGAAGGAAACAGGGTTTGCATAGAGAGGAATTGGGTTGAGATGTGACCTTAACAAAAGCATCCCCTGACTCTTCACAGCTCTGAATCCGGAGAGGTCCTTCAAAGCTATTCCAAGTGGCAACGGGGAGTGGGCCTTTATATCCCCCTCCCCATGTCCACAAGTCATTGAATGGATGCAGGTGGTGAATGACAAGCAGTTGGCGAAGGAGTTCTTTCCAGCTCCTTTCTTCTTAGAGAGGGTGGGCAGCTGAGGACTGTCAACCAGTAGGCTTCCCAGCAGCTGGGGGAACAAATCCTTCAATTCTGAAAGGGAGTCTGGGGAATGTACTGAAACATCCATCATATATGGCTACCCTATAATGCAGCCATTCTCTTCCTATATATGTGCAACAGAAATATGTAGATATGTTAATGAGAGACATCTACAAGAAAGTTCATAGCAGCACAACTGACAATAGCCCAAACTGGAAACAACCCAAATGTCCATCAATAGTTGATGAATAAAATGTGGTTTATGAATACAATGGAATGTTATACAGAAATAAAATGTTGAGTGAAAGATGCCAGGCATAGAAAGTAAGTACTTTTATTAGTTTCCTATTGTTTCTATAACAATTTACCCCAAATTTAGTGATGTGAAACAACACAAACTTACTGTCTGATGGTTTTGTAGTTTAGAAGTCCAACATGGGGGGCACAGTCATTAAGTGTCAGCTCAGGTCATGATCCCAGGGTCCTGGGATTGAGCCCTGTGTCAGGCTCCCAGCTCCACGGGAAGCCTGCTTCTCCATCTCCCACTCACCACCCCCTCCCCCGCTTGTGTTCCCTCTCTCTCTCTCTCTCTCTGTGTCAAATAAATAAACAAAATCTTAAAAAAAAAAAAAAAAGTCCACCATGATTCTCACTGGCTGAAATACAGGGGTCTTCAATGCTGTATTCCATTCCGGAAGCTCTAGGGAAGAATCAGTTTCCTCGCTGTTTGCACCTCCTAAAGACCACCCACATTCCTTGGCCTGTGTCCCCCTTCTTCCAACTTCAAAGCCATCAACAGCAAGTTGAATCTTTCTCATACTGCATCAGTCCAGCCTTTCTGCTTATCTCTTCTTCTTTTACAGATCCTGTGATGACACTGAACCCACTCAATAATCCAGCATGATTTCCCCATCTCCAGGTCCTTAACTCAATCACATCTGCAAAGCCCCTTTGCTATGCGAGGTAACATTTAAAAGTTCTGGGGACTAGGATGTGAGTATCATTAGGGATCATTCCATTTATATAAAGTTCAAAACTGGCAAAAATGAATCTGACCAGGATAACGTTTAGCTTTCCAGAGTCATGTGGAGAACTGTGAGGGGCTGGGAATGTTTTATTTCCTGATGTGGGTGCTGGTTACACAGGTATATTCATTTGTAACAATCACTGACCTGTACACTTAGGTTTTGTTTTGTTTTGATTTTTTAAAAAAATAGGCTCCACGCCCAGTGTGGGGCTTGAACTCATGACCTTGAGATTAAGAGTCACATGCTGTACTGACTGAGCCAATCAGGCACCCTGGCCTGTATACTTAGGAGGCATACATTTCTTTGAATATATGTTATACTTCAGTAACATAGTTTACTTAAGAAGAGAAAGAAATTGGGATGCCTGGGTGGCTCAGTTGGTTGGCTCAGGTCATGATCTTGGCTCAGGTCATGATCCTCGAGTCCCGGGATTGAGTGTTGCATCAGGCTCCCGGCTCCATGGGGTGTCTGCTTCTCCCTCTGACCTTCTTCCCTCTCATGTTTTCTCTCGCTTTCTCTGAAAAAAAAAAAAAATCTTCAAAAAAAAGATTTAAAAAAGAAGAAGAAGAAAAAGAAATCTATGGCTGAGACATAGGCGTTCTCTTCCCTTGTGCGGCTTAGTGGGGACACAAATTATTACAACCTGCAACACGTGCTATGAGGGAAATTAACAGGGTCTGGGAGCAAGTTTGGGGCAAGGTTTAGATTCGGTGTTCAGGAAAGACCTCCCTCAGAAGGTGAGCTCTAAGCTAAGACCTAAATGATGAGACAGTGCCAGCCATGCCAAGCTCTAGAGGGAGAGTAGTCCAGACAGAGGCAACGGCAAGGGCAAAAGCCTTAAATCAAGAATAGCTTGACATATATCAGGAACTGAGGGAAGGCCAGTGTGACCGAGTGGAGTGGATAAAGGAGAGATGAAATCAGAGTTAGGGCCATCGGAAGGGATTGGGATATTTCCCCCCCAAACTGGACAAAAAGAACGAGTAAAAGGCTTTTCATTTTTTAGTTGTAAAGTATTAGTGGCAATTTTGGAGCACGGATTGGAGGGGAGGGAACAAGAGTGGAAGCAAGCCCAGTCCGGAGGTTTTTGCGATCTTCTGGAAGGAAAGCAATGGTGGGGTTGAGAAATGTTCTGGGTGTAGAATGAAAATGTGCTGATGAACTGACTGAAAAACCAGACTGATGTCTTAGATTTCTGGCTCCACTAAGTGGTATTGAGCTGGGGACAAAGATGGGTCTTAGGGAACGGCAGGTTGCAGGGTTGGGGGGGATGGGGAGGAGTAAGTTCCAAAGGGATCTGGTCAGGGATTCAAGCCCACCAAGTCCTCTTCCCATTTGTTAATTTCTTCATTCTGCAGCTCTGTGGGAGAGCTGCCCCTGGGGAGCTTAGGAAGTCCCTGGAGGAGAGCAGGGCCAAAGGGCTGAGGGCCAGGGCCTACAGAGGGCTGCCTCAATTTCCCCAGCCTGGACAGTGAGCATGCTAGTTAGAGCCATTATAGGTGGCCTCCACCTGAAGATTTACTTCTAACCCCTGGAGCTAAGGACGCTTTCAGTGATGACTTAGATGACCCCCATGTTTGAAAAGGTCCAGCTCCTGTGTCATCCCCCAGCCTTTGGCCTTTACCATACTGGCTATGTCCTCAGCATGGCTCTCCTCTCCTGTAGCCACCCTCCTCGAGTCCCAGTCCCAGAAGCATCACCTGGCAGGGACAAGCACGTCACAAATGCTGGATTCTCATCGCCATCTAACTCTGCCAGGTGGGTGGGGCTTCCTTCTCTCCCTCTGCAGAGGACAGAGAGTGGAGGTCCAGGTGACCCGCAGGGGTGTGGCTGGCTGAGGGATGGGAAGGATGTGCTGTGTACCAGGCCTATGCCGGGCCCTTTGCCTGAATTGATGCCTAGGAACCCCCGGCTTCTTGCCCACTGAGATCACTCCCTGTGCCTTTAGGCCAGACTTAACAATTTTTACACTATTCCAAGAGAAGGAAAATCAGATCTGCTTTTTTTTTTAAAAGTTTATTTATGAAGTTTATTTTATAGAGTTTATTTATTTAAGTAATCTCCACACTCAAGGTGGGACTCGAACTCATCACCTGGAGATTAAGATTGGCACCCTTCTCCAACTGAGCCAGCCAGGTACCGCAGATCTGATTTTGAGGAAGCAAACTCCTCAGCCTCTCTGAGCTAGAGTAGCCAGAAAGCTCTGGGACCCTTCCCTTCAAGTAGGCAGAGCGCCTCGCTGGAGTCAGAAGTGCCAACTCTCTGACCTTGGTTCGCCCTCCGTCTGGTACATCACAGGTTTGTCAGGCAGACCTCCTGTGTGATGTTCCTTGTGGGAGGCATCGAGGCTCGGCACTGATAGCCAGGGCCCTCAGTGGACCCAATGT